CCTCTGAGCTTCAGTTTCCTTATACAGAAAAAGATGGCAATGACTGCTGCCTTGTCTAAACCCCAGAGTGTGTTGAATAGCTCAATGTTATTATATATAGAAAATGTTTTGGGGCAGCAAAGCACTACAGAGCCACGGGTTACTTCTCCTTCTTTTCTCTCTCATTGTCTTATGCATCAAATTCCATCTTGGCAGAAAGAAATTGCACAAAATGGTCTCTTTTACAAGGGATCTTCCTCTTCTGTTTTTAGACCTTAGATATACAGTGTATATAACTATACTTGAAGAGGAGCGTATCTTTTCATTTCTACGTAAACATATATGTTTTAGCTGAAGTCCTTATGAAGCTTGATCTGGAGCTCTGTGTTCATGACCTTCCCCATCATTCCCCACATCCTCCCTACCCCATCTCCACTATAGAAGAGTCTTCTCCCCAAATTTTCCACAGTGATTGCCTCTCAAGAATCACCTGGGCTAATAAGTAACCTGTCTTCTAAACCTATCCTTATCTCAGGTTCACTCACTTTTTCCAGTTTTAGGGCTAAGATATAAAAATAGAATTTATGTGAATGGTGGTTAATACTGGGGATTTTGCAATCTTTTGGAAACATGGACAAACGAATGGCTCTGCGTTCCTGGCCACCCTCTCCTCATCTTCACAATGGGCATAATAATGGTATTTAATTTTAGGGTTGTTGGCAGATTAAATGAAATAAAGGATGTAAGGAATAACACATAGTAAGTATATAACTGTTATTATTAAGGGTGAAAAAAAAAACCAGAACTCTCCTTCTCTCCTTTGCTGCTGTTGTTACTATTTGCTATCTAGTCAGTTCCAACTCACAGCAACCCCATGTGTGCCAAGAAGAACTGTTCCACAGGGTTTCAAGGCTGTGACCTTTCAGAAGGAGATAACCAGACCTTACTTCTGAGACACCTCTGTGTGGATTTGAACTGCCAACCTTTTAGTTAGTAGTCCAGCATTTGACCATTTGTACCATATTGAAAAAAAAATTCAGTATGAAATTTTAAATATCGAAAAAACGTTTTCAACATTTTCCCAATCTTACCCTTTAAGCCACCTTAGTCTATTTGCTTCTTTTATTTTTATTTTTGGCTTTAGCTGAGAATAAGTTTTGTTTTTTTTTTTTTTTTTTACTTCTGGTAAATCAAGTTCCAAGACAATTTAACTAGAAGTTATGAGAAGCTGCTTGACTGTTTACAAACTCCTTTAAATCAAAAGATCAAGATGTAAACTATTTTTATATGTCATCTTGTGTGCTTCAGGCTCCTTGGTGCCTCAGAGAATATGAAAGAGGCTGATTTACAATCACTTTGGGCATGTTGCCTGCATATTCCTAAGGACAGGAACTGAAAAAAAAAGTGTAGCACACACCCCCGGACATTCCACACGACATGTAGAATAAACAAACGGGCCCAAAAAGGAAACCAAAAACTCTTGGTCCTGTGTTGAGGGGTACCACACATGGCCTTTGTTAGAACATACACTAAAGATGATGAAAAGCTGGTGTCATGGATTGAATTGTGTCCCCCAAAAAATGTGTGTAGCAACTTGGCTAGGTCATGATTCCTAGTATTGTTTCATTGTGTAATCTGATGTGATGTCCTTATGTGTTGTAAACTCTACCACTATGATGAGGTTACACTGATGAGGTTGACAAGATCAGTGTCTTAATGCAATCTCTTTTGAGATATAAAAGAGAGAAGTGAGCAGAGACACATGGGAACCTCATACCACCAAGAAAGCAGTGCTGGGAGCAGAGCGCGTCCTTTGGACCTGAGGTTCCTGTGCAGGAAAGCTCCCAGACCAAAGGAAGACTGATGACATGGACTTTCCTCTAGAGCCAACAGAGGAAGCATTCCCCCGGAGCTGATGCCCTGAATTTGGACTTGTAGCCAACTGGACTGTGAGAGAATAAACTTCTCTTTGCTAAATCCATCCACTTGTGGTATTTCTGTTAGAGCAGCACTAGATGACTAAGACAGCTGGAAAAAATCTTTCAAAAGGAGTAAAATAGACTCCGATTGAAGAGAAGTCCCTTCCCCCTTCATCTGAAGGAGAGTGAGTGTTTTAATTTAAGTAAATTCTGTTACCTGTACTAACATTCTGAAAAAGAGGTACCATGTTACAGACCTGTGCTTCTCAAACCTTAATAGGAATATGACTCCCCTGGGTAGTTTGTTGCCATCTAGTCTCTGGGTGGAGCAAGCATTTTGTGCTTGGCTGCTAACCTAAACGTTGACGGCTGTTTGAACTCACCCAGCAGTGCCATTGAAGAAAGGGCTGGTGATCTGTTTTTGTAAACATTACAACCAAGAAAACCTAATGGAGACTCGTTCTACTCTGTAACAAATGGGTCTCTATGAGTTGAAAGTGACTCAACAACAACAGTTTTTTGTTTTTCCACTTTGGGTGTCTTGTTAAGCTGCAGATACTTATTCAGTAGATCTGGGTGGGGTCTGAGATTCTGCATTCATCACAAGCCACCAGGTGTTGCGAATGCTTCCGGGCTGTGGGCCACAGTTGGTTTTCAATCACCTTCTTCAACAAAATAATTAGTGTTTTTGTTCTAGTCATTATCTGTAGAACAGTTGTTCTCAACTGGGTGTGATTTTGACCTTAGAGGAAGTTTGGCAGTGTCTGGAGACTTTTGATTATCACAGCTCAGGGAGTTGCTACTGGCATCTAATGGATAGTGGCCAGAGATGTTGCTAAGCATCCTACAATGCACAGGACAGCCACCAATAACAAAGAATTTTCTAACCCAAAATGTTAATAGTAGCAAGGTTAGAAAACCTCCTTATAGAAGTCCCATTTTATGCATTTCTCATATCAAAAATAGTGTTTTGGAAGTGCTCAAAAGAAAATTAAACCTGTGAGGAAAGGGTGTTGTTGTTTTTGTTAGGTGCCGTGGAGTCGGTTCCCACTCATAGCAACTATGTACAACAGAATGAAACACTGCCAGATCCTGTGCCATCCTCACAGTCATTGCTGTGCTTGAGTCCGTTATGGCAGCCACTGTATCAATCCACTGTGTAGAAAGGATAGGAGCATGTACTATTTAGTTTGGAGTAGAGAGAGAGAGAGAGCAGTGTTTAAAACTGTCTTCAAATATATGAAAGGTTATCACAGAGAAGATGATAACCAGCTGTTCTCCATCACCCTTGCATAATGAATAGGAAATACACATAAACGGCCCTGTGCTACCCGTCTATTCTTCTTCTACGCCCTCCACACCAGCCAGGCAAATCTCTATGATCTTGCAATCATACTTCTCCTGTCCTGTGTCTTATTACTTGCAAAGACCCTCCCAAATCCTTGGGACACATTTTCTTGCCCCTGCCAAGTGATGTCTCTCCCTTCTCCTTAAAAGCTAACTTTAAAATTTCCATCTGCAGAAAATTTTCCTTAACTAAGATGAAGTAGTTTCCAGTTCATCTCAAATTAGAAACTGGCATATTTCCTTCTTCAAAGTATTATCTTTCATCTACAAATAGGTTATTGCCCACCTCTTCGCAGGGAGCTGGGCTAGATTTTGACAGGGGATAAGAAAGATGAGTCACAGCATCCCTGCCTTTCAGAATCTTTCAGTCTAGGAAAAATTTTGGTACAGAAAACTAAAATGTAGGCAGTATATTATAATTATCTCCATAAGAGATTTAAAAGTAGGGAAGATCAAGGAAGACTATAAATACGTAGACATAAGTATCTTTTTGGTTTGTTTCCTTGAAGAATAAATAATGTTCTCCAAGTTATGTACAATCCTGTGCATTAAATAAGCACTTAATAATGTTATCCAATTGTAAAGATTGTGAATTACAGCAGTCTGGATTTAGACTGTATTTATGGAAGAGTTCTACTCTGAAACACGTGGGGTCGCCATTATGTTGAGGCAACAGGTTTGGTTTGGTTACAGTAGGTAATGTTAACAGACTGGAGTTACTAAATACACTCAAAATCTATTTCTTTACAACTAGGAAAGAGAATTTTTCAGGGTCCATGTGGCTACATGGTGGTCCTAACAAAGGACATAGAACTTAATTGTCTCTGAATGTACTTTATGATGCTCTGTGCTTTTCTGAAGAAGTGCTCTGGGGGAGGAAGATTTATTGGGAGGAAATACTTTGGAACCTCACAAGTAGACTAAAAACATTACCAAAGATGGAATTTGGTACTATCCATTTGAGGAGATGATTCCAGAACCCACTTAGGAGACAGTGTTACAGGGTTTCCATTACCCGAACTCTGAAGAAACTGAGGAGAATTAACTCTCATTGAATATCTAGTGTGTGCCAGGCATTGAATATGCCCTTTAGATATATCTTCTGATTTAATCTCAACAGCAAACTATGAGGTTATCATCACCAACAACATCGTAAGGAGGCGTTAGTGTATTAGTGTAAGCTCCCACCCACTGCTTGATTCAGGGAGGGAAACAGAGCAAATCTCAGGCTGACACAGGAAGCACTCTCCAGGTGGAGGCAATCCACTTGCCACTTCCTTTGGAAGCAGAGAAGAAAATATCCTCTTTCGAGGCTTTAAATGGTGATACTTGCATTCAATATAGTCAAAATGGAAAATGAAGCTATTTACATTTAATTAGTGTCCATGGTTTATTGTAGGGCTAACTACCAGAAAACTGTCTGCAATTGTGAGTCATACGTGAGCATGAGCCTCTGCCAACTCTTTCCCGCACATTATGAAGTCTTTAGTTCTGGGAATGGTACAGACACTAAATTACTATGGAATTTTGTACGAACGTTAATACTTATATGACTTGAAGCCATTATGTTGACTTTTCGGTCTGTAATAAACTTAATATCATAAGCTTTTCTTGTAGTTCTCATTCTTGGAGCATCATTGCTCTTTTTTAACAAGATCACAGCTTTCAAGGGTTACCTCTAGAACACCTTCCATAATTCAAAACGTATGGAATCTTGCTTTACTCTGTGTAGCTGAACTTTATTTTCCCCCTTAGTTCTTCTAGGCTTCTGCATATCATTCAATGTTGATGTGAAAAATTCAATGACTTTCAGTGGCCCGGTGGAGGACATGTTTGGATATGCTGTTCAACAATATGAAAATGAAGAAGGAAAATGGTAAGTAATTGAGTTTTGCTGTTGTTGTTGTTTAGTTATCTTATAAGATAATGTAAAATATTATTTGGTTACAGTTTGTTTTATGAATGAGACTTCAGTAGAATGAAGCATTTATGGTAGGAAAGACAGTTTTATCATTTGGTAAAGGAAATTGACTTAAAGATAAGATTCCTTGGCAATATTGCTTAAAAGAAGTGATCAGTGATTTCTGTTGAAGCCTAGATTGACCTCAAGGAAAGTCTTTATCCAGAATAGTTGCTGTTGTTGTTAGGTGCCGTCAAGTTGGTTCCAACTCATGACGACCCTATATACAACAGAATGAAACCCTGCCCGGTCCTGTACCATCCCCACAATCCTTGCTATGTTTGAACCCATTGTTGCAGCCACTGTGTCAATCCATCTAACTCATTGAGGGTCTTCCTCTTTTTCGCTGACCGTGTACTTTACCGGGCATGATGTCTTTCTCCAGGGACTGGTCCCTCCTGATAACATGTCCAAAGTACATGAGATGAAAATAGTTATTGTTTAGTAACTATGTTGCTCTGGCGAGAGTTCTCATTCTCATTTGAGAGTAGCTTGAATGTACTGGGCTGAAATTCGGCAGGAGGGGTTGAGAGGCAGATGAAATGCTGCCTTGAAAGGGTTAACATAGCCTTTGTAATATTGGGCTTATATTTTTGGTGCTTTGCTAACCTACTGGATTTGGTCTAAAGTTTATAAGGACCTTTATTAGATTTACTTTATACATTTTTAAGTGTAATATTGGTTAAGTTTATTTTAGGGGTGATTTTTAAAGTTTATTTAACTTGTTGAAATTATGCAAAATGGATAGTAGAGTACTTTTGCTTTGTATTTACCATGATGTTTAGTGTGAGTCTTCTTTTGTTTGTAATTGAACTTTGTAGGAAAAAACACTTAAACTTTTCTTCAGTTTAAAAACTTAAACTAAACATGACCCCATTTTTCTAGTAATGACAATAATAAAAATGGGTTCGTATCTACTTGGATAACAGTGATCTATCACTCTACTATAATTATTTCACAGATGAGAAGATGTATTTTTTCTATATTTCACCTTATCTTTAGGCTTGATTAATTTGATAATAATCCCTAAAGACTTTCAAAAGAAGTTAAATTCTAACATTTTATGTGTAGAAATACTGTATCAGATGTAATTCAGGTGTCAACTAGAATTCGTGAGAGTGCTTCCATTCTCCTTATATATCTCAGCTGAGAAATCTGATAACAGAGTATGAATTTTTAAGTCCTCTGTCCTTCTATCCTGTTCTCTCTCTATCTTTTAAGGTTAAATGGATAGGGCTAGCCCTCTAGATACCAGTTTTTATTCTTTCAGTCACTATGCCTGCAATTCAAGGAGCCCTGCCTCTGGGACAATAATGGTGAGCGCCCAACTGGTCAGGCTTCTCATTGTGCACAAATTATAATAAACTGAAACATAGTAGTGATATATTAACATTTTTTAAGCTTAAATTTTATAGAAACATACATAAAAGTGCCTGAAAGATGGGAAATCTACAGGCAAGCAAGAATAATAATGCTGTACTGAAGGAAAGAGGCCCTAGGCTAGACTGGGGGCAATTGAACTAAAAGATGAATATATTTATATGAATCATTAAGTCTTAGTGGAAGCTTGAAACTGGCAAACGTGGGCAATTCCAAAATTTCTAGACGGGATCACTGGGAAATGGGTGGTCACTTGACAGAGATGTATATACTGGGAAGGAAAGTCTATTTTACCGAGAACTTGACGAATCTGATTTTAGACAGCTTGAGTTCAAGGTAATGTCTAGGTAGTTGGAAATTTCAAACTGGAATACAGAGAAGTAGTAGAAGTTAATATATTAGGGGAAGTGCTTGGAGAACAAGGGCTGGTTTTAGTGCCCAGTCTTAACACTGTGCCCTGCCCAGCATCTGGCACTCAATGATTATTTGTTGGCTGAACAACTGAATCTAGTTTAGCACACTACTCCTATTGATGAAGAAACAGACACATAAAAAATATAGTCAAAAGTGACTCTCCTAGGGAAATATAACCACTTAGGGCCAGAACTGAAGGTAGAACTCAACTCTCTTCACTCCCAGTCTAGTAACTTTTTTTATTTATTAGAATTATGTTAAAAAGTAAATGTTGATAATAAAGATCTTTGAGGTAAGTACCAAACTTTACATATTAGTTTGTGAGAGTTTGTGAGCCTTGGAATGTATGTGGAAGTCAGATTATCTAATTCCATTTGACACTCCACATTTAAAATGATCTTATGGAAAAGGTGTTAAAAGTTAGGTAAATCAAGATGATGTGGCCAAATGAATTTAAAAATAAACAAACAACAAAAATTTTACGTTTCCAAACCTTTAAGGATTGCATGGTAGCCGCATATTGTGCTAAAGAGATCCAGGCACTGGTAATACAAAATAAATTGTAGAAACATATTTAGATGTTCTGTGTTTATAAAGCAGATAGAATTCAGACTTACTCTAAGGAATGGACTATGGAATAATTGACATATTTTGAGGAACATGAATTTTGTTATATAGCTTTCTCCAGAGGTAGGTACCTTCATAAATCATATTTACTGTTCAAGTTTTGGAAGTTCATCAACATCAGGTTTAAAAACATCATCCTGACCCATCTTCCATTTTGGCTATCTTATGCCTAAGGAAGAAGCACTTGTTGACCCATTACAAGTACAGTCTGTATATTTTGAAGCATTACTTTAATTCTTTTTGAAAGAATGAAAAGTTAACAGAAAAGGTAGCTTCGTGCGTTCTTTGGTTTTAAAGAGTTCACTGTGACATGTACTTTTGTTTATATCTTTGGCTCAGAAATCACATGTTTTCTCAGCAGCAGAACACATTATGCCTCTGATTAAGATCAGCTGTTGTTCATTATAGTTAGCATGAGCTGGAGCATCCAAGTAATTGCAGTGTGGTTCAGAAGTATTCAGAAAGAGCGTAATTGGTTTAATAATTTTGCTTTGAAGAGAAGAAACTTAAACTTGTTCAGCATTTCACAAGCTTTCCAGATTTAGTGGTAATCATCAGCATGGCAAGGTCTTAGTCAAATGGGAAAATCCAAGATGTTGGTTTGGGATTTTCCACTCTCTGTGCTTCCTTTGCTTCATTCCTTCCAGCATGTGCACCTATCCTTTTAACTGCTGTTCAAGCAACCTTTCTTGAGGGCTTCAGTGCCTTCAGTGGATCTGCCTTCTCTAAGTAGATTTCCATGACACAATATACTTCCCTAGCCAATCTCCAACCCAGCATGTATCAAAATGTGTTGACCTCATGCCTTTTCCCTAGAGCAATCTGCTTTATGCCAAGTAAGGCTACTAGTTGGCTTATGTTATTCACAGTCTTTTACTGATGACCTGTTTACAATGAAATGGAATCTAAATTTACTAACGCAACATCCAAGATACAATATGGTTGGGCCTTAGCCTAACCTTCCAACTGTGATGTCCACGACCTCCCTCTACAACATCTATATTCCAGCTCACCACAAGTTTTCCTTTCCCACTTCCATTCTTTTCCTTCTTTCTCTCTCTCTTTGGAAATCTTACTCACTTTATTGCCCCCTTCTTGATGAATCTTTCCTAGATCTCCCATCTTTGGAATCAATTACAATATCAGGTACATCCCTACATCCTTAGATTATATTTCCCTTAGAATTTATTTTTGTCTGCCATTTATTAGAGTCATTTACTCATTCTTTCACATCAGTATTTATTGAGTGCCTATTATATACCAAGCATTGATCTGGACATCAAGGATACAACAATGAATGAAACAGACACAATTTCTACCGTCGTGTATTTTACACTCCTGTTGTTCAACAACCACAAATTCCACAAATATCCAAGTCTAGTTATGTTTGGGTTTGCCTTTTCTACTCTTATGCAAGTTTTTTGAGTACACAGAATGTGTCTTATTCATTTTCGTGCCTGACTACAGTTTTTTTACATAGTGGCTATTAAAAAATCATTTACCCCTCAGTCACGACTCCAACTCATGGTGACCGCATGTGTGTCGGAATAGCACTGTGCTCCATAGGTTTTTCAATGGCTGATTTTTTCAGAAGCAGATCGCCAGGCCTTTCTTTCAAGGCATCTCTGGGTGGACTCGAACCTACAACCCTTAGGTTAGCAACTGAGCACGTTAGTCATTTGTCCTACCCGGAGACTCCACAGTGACTATTAGAGGCTCTCAATAAGGACAGTTTGCAATAACTTTGAGAGCTGTGGCTAGCACTAGGAAAAACAAGTTGGGGAGATATGTTTGTGGAAGGAAGGATCTGATGAGACCTCCCATCACAGGCACTCATAGCTCCAGACACTGCCTGCGTATCAAAACAGCCCTGACCATTAACTCACATTATCCGAGATCCTGATAGTTTATTTGTAAAACAATAAATGGTCAGGTGTTTCTGATCTAACAACTGGAAAAGAGGCAAGTAGTTTACACTATTCATTTACTATGTTATGAAATACACCCTGAATTTCACAATATAGTAAGTCTTTTATTATTTGTTGTTTTTACAACAGAGCTGAATTTTCAATCCATGTAGCTCTATAGAAATTTATTCTCCCCAAGGAGAAGACATGCAGACAAAATCTACTGAATGACAGAGGTGTATCCTCTTGGGGTGGCCACCATTGTGCACACTCGTGTGTGTTTTCAATAAAGTATATTTGAGCTTGAGGGGAAAAGGCTTTTTAAAGGACATATCAAATTTTTTTCTTACGGATTATTATATAATATTTACATTGTTTATAATGCTTTTTGAAATTGAAATTTTCTCTTTGCTAAACTTGTCATTTCTTTGGCTCACCTCATTTCCACCCCCCTGCCTTACATGACAGAAAGCATTGAAGCTAATGCGGCCACTGTATAAGTTTTACTCTATAACATAACCAAATGTTTAAAAAAAACAAAAGTGGCTGGCAGGGTGGCTGGCACTCTGAGAGTGATATTGATTTGAT